TCATTTCCTTCACCTGCTCCCCCCACTGACCAAATTGTGCAGCTCTGCAACTGCATCCTGGCCCATCCTCACCCTTCTGCCCCCAACCCTCACCTCCTTGTACCCCAATATGTTTTTCCCAATAAAAAAAATATTTAAAAAAAAATATGTACCATTGTTGTGGTAATGTGCCGTCGAGTCACCTGCAACTCATAGTGATCCTATGCACAATAGCTCTGAACCCTGCCCTATCCTGAGCCAATTTATTTTTATACTGTAGTATAATACAGGATAACACAAAAATTGTACTATGAAAGTGAAAAAAATGCATCCATCTTTAAACTTTATGCTTTACACTGAAACTATACCCTGAAGTCTACTTTGAACCAAAAAGTACTTTTCTTTTCATTCATTAAGTTCATCGGCTTTACGGATTGTGCTCTTTTAGAGAATTATCTACTGAGATCCAATTGACAAAGATGACTGGAAAAGTTCGATGGGAAACTGAGAGAACAGTGAGTTTAAGACAAAGGTGACAGAACAATGTGGGAAAGACAATGCAAACAAGAAATCTTCATAACTGGACCAACAGGCAGCATCATGATAAATGGAGAAAATACTGACTTTATCAAGCATTTTCTTTTACTTGGATCTACAATCAATGTCCATGGAAGCTACAGACAAGAATCGAGTGATGTATTACATCAGGCAGATCTGCTACAAAAGACTTCTTTTTTAAAAAAAAATACTCATATTTTTCATTGTTGAGCATTTCCTTTCTCCCCTCTCCCCTTCTTCCCGACCCACCCCATCACACAGTGCACCTCTTGTTCCAGATTGTTGTCATACGTATAATGCCTAATCATATATTCCTTTAGGACAGTTCTTCCCCTCCTCTGTGATAATGAACTGTTCATTATCTATCCACTCTTTTCCCATTCTCTCCCCAACCCCCCATATCTGGCCTATTTTATAATAGTGGTGTTGTGCAGTGTTTGTCCTTTTGAGACTATTTCATTCAACACAATGTTCTCCAGGCTCCCCTATGTTGCAAAATGTTTTACAAGTTCTTTGTTTTTCAATGCTGTATAATATTCCATTGTGTGAATGTAGCATACCTTTTTCTATCCACTTGTTTGTTGGACACTTGAGTTGCTTCCATCTCTTTGTGATTGTGAATAACACAGCAGTAAGTATGGGTGTGCATACATCTGTTTGAGTTGTGGGTCTGTTTTCTTTAGGGTATATTACTAGTAGTGGTATTGCTGGGTCAAATGGTATTTCTATTTCCAACTTTTTGAGAAATCTCCAAATCACCTTCCACAGTGGCTGTACCATTTTACATTCCCACCAGCAGTGAATAAGAGTTACAATCTTTCCACAATCTCGTAGGTATTTTTTTGCTGCCCTGCTGAACTTTGCTATTGTTGCCTGGGTGAGATGATATCTCATAGTCATTTTGATTTTCATCTCTCTAATAGCTAGGGGTTTTGAGCATTTTGTCATGTGTTTGTTTGCCATCTAAATGTCTTCTTCGGTAAAGTATCTATTCATATCCTGTGCCCATTTTGTGATTGACTGCTTACATTTTTCTTGTTGAAGTTTTGGAGTATTCTATAAATTTTAGATTAGAAGTCCCTTATGTGATTGCAGCATAATTTTCCCCAGTCTATAGGTTTCCTTTTTTGTGCTGTCGGAGAAAGTTTTTTATGTGCATAAGAATTTTATTCTTAGAAGGTCCTATTCGTCTATTTTATTCTCTCCTGGCTGTAGGTACAAAAGACTTCTTTAAAGTAGTCACAAAGAGGAAACTTTGAGAACTAAGGTGTGCTTGATCCAAGCCATGGTACTTTCTTTTTAAATTTGTCTCTTATGCATGTAAAAGTTGGACAACGAATAAGGAAAAAATGGAGAAGAATCTGTCTTTAAATGATAACATTATCAAAGACTATTGAACCTATCATGGACTTCTCGAAGAATGAATGCATTTGTCTTGGAGAACGTGCAGTCAGAATGCTCCCTTGTCTCATGTGTTTGGTTGTGTTCTCAGGAGGGAGTCATCTCTAGAGAAGGCCAGCATACTGGCCAAGTGGGGGGTCAGCCACGAAGAGGAAGACCCTCCAGGGGATGAATTGACACAGTGGCTGCAGTGTGGTGGGTATTGTTGTGAGATGCCCCTCCTAGTAACATGCTCAAAGTATGTGAGGCAAAGCCTCATCATTCCTACCTCCAAAGAGCACTCCGGCTGCATCCTCTCCAAGAGATATCTGTTCCTTCTCCTGTCTGTCCATGGCATGCTCAGTGCTCTTCTCCAGCACCACAGCTCAAAGGCATCAATTCTTTTCCTGTCATCCTTAGTCATTGTCCAGCTCTTAGATGCAGTTAGCATCCTGGAATTAGCTAAAACCTGGAGACATTTGGGGTTAGAGAGAAAGCTGGAGTCTCCTGAGAATTTATCGAACATTCAGGAGAAGGAGGATTGGAAACAAGTGAAGTTTGGCTTTAGTGGGTTATGAGACCGACGGACCCTATAGGACAGACTAGAATGGCCCAGGGACTTCCTAGGTGGTAATCTTTATAGGAAAGGGAGTTCTGGTGGCCTGGTGATAAGAAGTTGTGCTGCAATCCCAAAGGCATGGGATTCAAATCCACAGGATGCTCCATGGGAGAAGGATGGGCGATCTCCTCCGGTGTCATTTATTGCCTCTGAAAACCTGTTGGAGACTCAGCTATGAGTTGGTTCTGACTTGACAGCACATCATCACAATCTTTACGGGAGCAGACTCACATCTTTTCTGCTGGGGAGCACTTGGTGGGCTTGAACTGCCAACTTTGGGGGCCTTTGTGTAACAATTACAACTTTAAAGACCCAACAAGACAGCACTATTCTGCTACTGGGGTGTGTCGCTTGTGAGTCACAATCAGCTTGATGACACTGGAAAGAAAAGAACGTTGCATTTTGAGCGCGTTCAGTTATAAGCTAAAATGATTATTACTTTTTTTAAAAAATGCGGTATGCTCAATAAATATTTGCTGAAGGGATGCCAAATAACTGGCATTTCTCTGCAGCCCTAATTGTCTTCTGCCCTGATTTAATTTCCAGGGCACATCTGACTCCCTGGCGAGACTGCCAATAGCTTTAGGGGAAGGACTCGGAATTCAGCTTCAAATCCTGTGCACGCATCCTAGCCATAATTGCTCATGGCCTTGGGGCATTGAACTAGAAATGCATGCAATTTTTCTCCACACTCTAAGACCAATGAGGTCCCCTTCTCAGGTGCTAGTCTCGCCCCATCTCTCTCACCTTCTAGAGGCGATGTGTCCCCAGAGGAGGGCACAGAAAGGGAGTGCGCCCTTTAATGCGTCATCCAGTGTTCCAACACGCCTGTGAAATGAATATGCTGCTGTTGGAGGCATGTCTGCAGTCAGCGGAGACCCCAGCCTGCTCTGAACCCCTGAACCTGCAGCCTGGGGAAGAGCAGAGGCAGGGAGGCCTGGCACCTCGTCACTGTTTCTGAGATGACGCCCAGATTTTCAGGGGACAGTGGGTGCTCAAAGTCTGACTCCTGGACCACCACCCTCAGCTGCTCTGTCCCTCCGTGGTTTCTGCCCAGCCCTTGGTGGCCTCCGTCATTTTGGTGGTGTATTTTGGGATCTCTCATTCCAGCCACAAGTGCTCCGTTGCAAATGGATTGGTCTCCTGGCCTGTGTTTATGAGTTGTTCCCTCATACCTGCCCTACTTCTGTGGTCTGAAGGCCAAAGCCAGCCACCAGCTTGTCACCTAACTCTACCTCCCAACTTAGGGCTCACTGCTGACTCCCTAGGGGTCTCTGCTGCCTCCCACATGGCATCTTAACCCCAGCCCAGCATCTACCAGAGTGGCCTTAGGCAGGTGGTTTTAGCTCTTGTGACCCCAGTGGCCTCCCTCTCTCTGGTCGGGACCCTCACTCTGGCCTTTTTGATCAGCATCCAGGCACTGAACTCCCACCCTGCAAAGGTTTACTCCCTCGCTGGACCAGGCATCCCGAGGCCAGGCCCAAGGCAAGGCCCTTCACTTTCTACCCTGCTGGTGTCCCACACTGAGGGCGGGGGCCTAAGATGGTCAGCCCCATCCCCGTCTCTTCTCCTCCCCCTCCCTGCCCCTCGCCTCCTCCCCTTCCCCTCTTTCTCTTCCTCCCCCTTCCCCTCCTCCCCACTCCCTGCACCTTCTCTCCTCTTCCTCCTTACTGCCCCTTTTCTCCTCCTCCTCCTTCTCCTCCTCCCTGCCCCTTCCCTCCTCCTCCCCTCTTCCCTCCTTCTCTCCCAGCTTCCTCCTTCCATCCTCTCCTTCCCTTCTTCTCTCCTTGTTCCTCCCTCGTCCCCCCTTCTTTCTCACAGGCTCACTCTCCCTGGCTCTCCCTCCCTCTCATTGTCTGCCTTCCTGCCCCTCCTCTCCTGGGCCCCATTCCTCTGCTCTAGGGGATGAAAAACTCCAGTTGGAGACTGAGATGTTGCAGAGTCTTTTATTGAAACCAGGTGAGACGCCCCAGTAACTGAGAAGGTGCACTATGTCCCAGACACCCAAATGCCTCCCGTGGGCTGGGCTGGGTTGTCCATCCGCCTTCCAGACCTCTTCCCTGTGGCCAAGGGACTCTGCCGTCTTCAGGGGCGAGGGTGAACCCAAGGCTTATTGTGGTGTGGGGTGGGGGTGGGTGTCAAGCTAGGATGGGGGTTTGGGCTAATGTAGAGGGTGAGGCTTTGGGCACAAAGAGGGTTGAGGGTGACTAAACCGTCACAGGCCACCACGGATGATTTCACCCCAGCAAAGGCAAGACGCCCCCAGTCCCCAAGGTGGCAATGTTACCCCTGAAGCCCCTTCCTGGACTTGGGAAGGGATGAAGGCCAACCATCCCAGCCCCCTCCTCTCCTGCCCACCTCTCAGAAACAAAGCAGACACTCCACACAAACTCTAGTGGCTACGTGAGACTCAGCCCACCCTCCTGGGCCGGGGTCCCAGGCAGGCGGGGTGGCGGAAGGGACACTAGCCCTGGAACCCCAGCTCCTTGTACTTGGCCGCGATGTCGTTCCGGAACAGCTCCAAGGCCTTGTTCATAGCTCCCTGGGCATCAGCGCCAAAATCTGCCGCGTGCTTGCTCTGCAGAACCTGGATGATGGCTTCTGAGATAAACTGGGGACAGAGACGGAGAGGGACGCGGTCTAGTTCCATGCACTGAGCACTAGCTATGCACCAGGCATCACTTCAACTCATGTACTCTGGGCATGTTGCTGGGAGGGGCAGTCCTTGGAAATGGGCGTCATGCTGGGGAAGGTAGAGGGTCCAGGAAAGAGAGGAAGACCCCCACAAAGGTGGATTAACACGGTTACTGTGACAATGGACTTGATAAAGGCACAGGGTGGGGCAAGGCTCTGCTCTGTTGCTCAGAGGGTCAATATGAGTCTTAGGAGACTAGATGGCACCTTACAACAACATGCACCAGGTGTGGTTCTGAATGATCTTCGTAAGTTAATACCTTTAATGTCACAAGCCCATGAGACAAGTGCTAGTAAAACTCCACTCTGCAGAGGGGAAACAGGCACAGAGTGGATAAACTGTGTGTCCCGAGTTAGGCAGCCAGAAGGGGGCAGAGCCAGGATTTGAACCCACATGTCCACCCTTTGACCTCTACCTTCCTCTACAACCACTCGGGAGGTGAACCCCATCAGCAACTAGGCTCTGAGCTCCCCTGGCATGGGGGGAGTGGGAAACACTGCAGAAAGCTAGGGAGGTGCCCAAATTCCATGATTTTATCATGGATTGTCCCATCAAAACATCTCGACAGTATTATTTCCATTTGAGTGTGTTTACACTTTGTTTTTAATGATTTCATATAGTGAAGGTCTAAAATCAGAAGTGGTGGGTGTGAATAAATCAATCCACCTGAAAGCAAAAACCCGTATCAAGACTCCATTTTAAAGAGTCAGC